TTTTTAATTTCTTTTTTTTTTTTTTGTTGGTCGTGGGATCTTAACTCTGGGCCTGGGCACTGTCCCTCAGCTCTTCAGCTGTAGACTAGCACTCTAGAGCCTCAGCCCCACTTCAGGCCTTTTCTGCTTATGTGGTGCTGAGGAATCGAACCCAGGGCCTCATGCATGCAAGGCAAGCACTCTACCACTGAGCAACCTTACCAGCCCCTAGTTCTTTTTAATTTCTAACAACCTCTTAACCTGTTTTTAATAGTCTCCAGAACAAACATTTAAAATACATAAGTGTACTGGTGGCTCATACCTGTAATTCTAGTAATTCTTAATTTAGGAGGCTAAAATCTGAGGATCTCAGTTTGAAGCTAACCTAGGCAGACAAATTGGAGAGACTTTTTGCTGTCCAAAAGCCAGAAATAAGGCTGGGCACTGGTGGCTCACACCTGTAATCCTAGCTACTCAGGAGACTGAGATCTGAGGATCATAGTTCAAAGTCAGCCTGGACAGGAAAAGTCCGTGAAACTCTTATCTCCAATAAACCACCAGAAAACTGGAAGTGGTGCTGTGGCTCAAGTGGTAGAGAGCTGGCCTTGAGCTGAAGTGCTAAGGGATTGTGCCCAGGCTCAGAGTTCAAGCCCCATGACCAACCAAAAAAAAAAAAAAAAGCCAGTAATAGAGCTCTTGTTCAAGTGATAGAACACCAGCTTTAAGTGAAAAAGCTAAACAAGCCAGAGGGGCTCTGAGTTCAAGTTCAAGTATCAAAAATACTTTTTCTGGTACATAAAACCATGAAAGGGGGGCTGGGAAGGTGGCTCAGTGGTAAAGCTCTTGCCTTGCATACAAGAGGCCCTGGGTTCGATTCCGCAGCACCACATAAGCAGAAAAAAAGCCGGAAGTGGTGCTATGGCTCAAGTGGTAGTGTGCTAGCCTTGAGCTGAAGACCCCAGGCCCAGAGTTCAGGCCCCACGACCAGACCCCCCAAAAAAACCAAAAAACAAAATAACACGAAAGGGCTGGGAATGTGGCTTAGAGGTAGAATGCTTCCCTAGCATGCATGAAGCCCTAGGTTCAATTCCTGAGTACCACATAAACAGAAAAAGCCAAAAGTGACACTGTGGCTCAAGTGGTAGAGTGCTAGCCTTGAGCAAAAGAAGTTCAGAGACAGTGCCCAGATCCCTGAGTTCAAGCCCCAGAACTGGCAAAACCAAACAAAAACCACTTTAAGCTGATATTCCTCATTTACTTAGATGTTATTGTTAGGCATCAGGTTGTTTCCTGTTTCATTATAGAGATGAAGACAAATATCCTAGTTCCTGCCTCTTGTGCCATAACTCCACTTCTGGCTTTTGGATGGTTAATTGGAGCATAAAAGTCTCATGGACCTTTCTGCGCTGGCTGGCTTCAAATCATGATTCTCAGATCTCAGCCTTACGAATAGCTAGGATTACAGGTGTCAGCCACCAGTACCCAGTAATACTACTCATTTCTTTTAGTACTGAGAATGGAACCCATGCACTCACTTATTTATATTTTTTTGTTGGTGTGTGGCTTGAACTCTGGGCCTAGGCACTGTCCCTGAACTCTTCATCTCAAGGTGAGCGCTCAACCACTTGAGCCACAGTGCCACTTCCTGCACTCACATTTAATTGGCAAATGCTCAGTTCATCCACTAAAGCCATTCCTCCAATCCTTTAAGGTTTTCAAATAGGGTCAGTTTTTCAAATAGGCCAGTTTCTAACTTTGATCATCCTAATTGTGCTCCTGAGTAGCAGGATTACAGGTATCAATATCTAGGCCTGGATATTTTTTATGATTCTTTAGAGAGAACCATCACTCAGTTGACTGCACTACATATAGTACCTTGTACCTAAATGTAACACGCACCAACACACAGGTATACTTTTTCTTTACAGACATACTTTCATGTGTGTATTACATATTCAGGTCTGTTTATTCCACAGGTAGCCTACCAGATTCTCTGCTACACACCACAGGTCCAGGCCACTACCTGCCTCACCTACAGTCCTCTCAGAGGTCAGCCGGTGAGCGCCTAGGCCTCAGAACCAGTGTGTCCATTGATTGATGGAACCACCCATTAATCCAGAGACCAACCCTTGACTTATGACACCAGTTTCTCCCACAAATGCACTGGGCCCTTGAGGCTTATCTCAAGAATGTGGCAAAGTCATGGGGACAGGGCTGTGAGCTGGTGCTGGGAGGTCATACAAGGAGAGCCATAGGGAAGCCATAGCTGTGGGGCTGAGCCAGTCACAGAAGGAGTGACGAGAGCCTTCTGCAGAAGATTGAACAGGTGTGGCAGGATGGAGGATGGTGGTCAGTGCGAGGCACAAGAGTGGACCCCATAGACCAGTTGACACATAGGGTGACCTCAGACCTGGAACAGCCCCTAGACCTGTGAGGGCCATTTCTATCTCCTGAGCAGTCCAGTGACCTAGATACCATCTGGTTATTAAGGTCCTAAGTGCCCCTACTTTCCCCCCCTACTTTTGTCAGTAGTGTGGCTTGAGCTCTGGGCCTGGGAGCTGCCCCTCAGCTCTTCAGCTCAAGGCTAGTACTCTACCACTTGAGCCACAGCACCACTTCTGGTTTTCTGGTGGTTTATTAGAGATATAAGCGTCTCATGGATTTTCCTGCCCAGGCTGGCTTTGAACTGTGATCCTCACAGATCTCAGTCTCCTGAGTAGCTAGGATTACAGGCATGAGCCACTGGCGCCTGTACTACTTTTTTTTTGAACAGTTGTGCTCAAGGGTCTTTGGAGTCTGCTGTGCACAGGATGATGACTTACTAGGCTAGTTGTACAGAAGTCCTTTGCAGAGCTCCTCAGAACCTGCCTGGGTGGATGCTGAGAGCCTCAGGGAATCTGTCAGATGAACTGCACAGAAGGCCCTTAGATATAGCTAATCTAAGGTTCCCATTTTACACAAGCATATTTTAAGAGAAGGCCCAGAGAGCAATATGTGTTCAAGGGTCTGAAGCAAGCAGTTGCAAAACAGTATATTTGTACCATTCCCAGATGGAGATCCCTGGCCAGTGTAGGGGCAGGAGGGCAGGGAGACAAATACCATCTTCCCTCTCAGATCTGCACCTGGCAGGCCTAGGAAAGCCAACCTTGCTGAATCCAGAGCTCCCCCTTCCCTATAGCTCTGCCCACTGCACCCTATCCATGGACAGGCCCCAGCCTCTAGCTGGCTGCAAGGCCTAAATGGGCTGGTGGTATGGTCAGCTGATCCTTCCTACAGCCCCAGCCTCACCTCAGCCTTCAAATGTAGTCACCAGCTGCCAGTGGACCATTCCCCCCACTTTCCTACTCTCTTGGCAGATCTCCCCTTCTCCTTATCCTGGAACCCTCTGCCTCTTCTTGCCAGTTGCCCAAAAAGGCCCAGAAAGCATTGGGCTGGGCACTAGTGACCTTCCATCCACCCCATCTGACATGGTCCCTGTCACTTCCCTGTACCCATGTGTTCCCTTCCTGTCTCTCTCTCCAAGGACACTTGGTCATTCCTTGGGGTGAGAGTTGCTGGAATTTGAGTGGCACTCCCAAGGCACTGAGGCTCTGGAGCTGCACACAGCAAGTGCATCTGCACCACACATATGGAGCTACAAATTGTTTTCACCTCAGTTGTGAGACTATAGATTCAGGAGGACCACACTCCCCAGAGCCCCTGTTGAGTTAGGAGGGAACATTTCATGCAAGGTCTCTTGGGCTGCAAAATAGATGGGAAGATGTCAGGATGTCAATGTGGTGTGGATTAAGTAGGCCATGTCATCCAGGCTGTGAGTTGTTTCTAGGACTCGCTCTATGGCAAGCTGAAGCCTTTGGAGACAGATGTAGAGACAGGTTATTTACGGAGGGGTATTCTGAATGGAATTCCAGCACCACTGTCCCCTTGGGTCTCTCTAGTTACTAGGTCCTGACCTACAGAGACCCACCTACATTACTTCCAGGAGGGAAGAGGAAGCTGGAGGGCAGGACACAGGAAAACCAAATTAGGGGAAAAAAAATGTGAGCCTGGAAGAGAAGTTGGGAGGGCTGAAGTGAAGAGCTTCTGAGAGGACATCATTTCTTCCCTCACTTACACAAACTTAGGTCCCTGATTTTTTTTTTTTTTTTGCCAGTCCTGGGGCTTGAACTCAGGGCCTGGACACTGTCTCTGAGCTTCTTTTGCTCAAGGCTAGCACTCTACCACTTGAGCCACAGAACCACTTCCAGCTTTTTCTGTTTATATGGTACTCAGGAATTGAAGCCAGGATTTCATGCATGCTAGGCAAGCACCACTAAGCCACATGCCACATTCCTAGCCTTAGGTTCCTGGGTTTTTTTCCCCCGTTGGTCGTGGGGCTTGAACTCTGGGCCTAGGCACTGTCCCTCAGCTCTTTAGCTCAAGGATAGAGTTCTACCACTTAAGCCACACCACCACTTCCAGTTTTCTGGTGTTTAATTGGAGATAAGTGTCTCATGGACTTTGCTGCCCAGGCTGGCTTTGAATCGTGATCCTCTGATCTCAGCCTCCTACACTAGGATTGCAGACATGAGCCACCATTGCCCGGCTTGGTCCCTGTTGTTTTTTTTTTTTTATGGCAGCAGCAAATGGTACCTGGGGTGATTTCTGCCTCACCACTTCCCTACATGGCATGGTTCAGTTATGAGGGAAACTCTGGAGGGCAATCGGACTGGGAACCCTCTGCTGTGCATGGAATTACTACAAACTGCACAGAGTGTGGGGAGCAGGGGGCAGCACCCTCAGCAAGCATAACAAGGGCTCCACAGTACTCAGGACACAGGATCTGAGCTTAGATATTTTCCTACTACTTTTAATCAAACACATGTGACTCTTGACAGTCTGCCTAGTGGCAGAAGCCAGAGAAGCCAGCAGCATGCTAGCGTTTTCATGCTGAAGTGAAAAAAATCTGAGCAGCAAGTCCAATTTCCTTCCTCCCCAGTTGACCTCATTCGAGACCCACACTGGGCCCAGGGCTGCCACCCTTAGATTGCCACCTGCTGCATGGGTTTGAGTTTTGGGGACACGGCAAAGTCGCAGGCTGTGCACTTCTTGAGCTCATCCATGGTACAGCCTTCCCAGAGCTCCATCAGGACTAGCCCTTTGCTGTTGCACACGTCGAACACAGCCTTCTCAGTGATGATGCGGTCCACACAGTTCTTCCCAGTCAGAGGCATGGTGCATTTCTCCAGGATTTTGGGCTTGTTATCCTTTGAGCAGTGCTCCATGGTGACCACAACTCTGGTGGTCTCATTGGACACCAAATCCATGGCCCCACCCATTCCTTTCACCTTCTTCCCAGGTATCATCCAGTTAGCCAGGTCCCCATATTTGGAAACCTGCATGGCACCCAGCATGGTCAGTTGCAGGTGGCCCCCTCGAATCATGGCAAAGGACTCATCACTGCCAAAGAAACTGCCCCCGGGGAGCACAGTGACTGTCTGCTTGCCTGCATTGATGATATCGGGGTCCACCTCGTGTTTTAATGGGAACGGGCCCAAGCCCAGGAGTCCATTCTCACTGTGCAGAAAAACAGTTATGTCAGGGCTGATGAAGTTGCTGGCCAGCACGGGGATCCCGATGCCCAGGTTGGCATACATGCCATCCTTGAATTCCAGGGCTGCACGTTTGATGATCCGAGTTCTGATGTCATCTCCCTTTTTGGCTTTGGCATCATCTTTCTCACTTCGTGTGATTAAACGCTCGATTCTCTTCTCAAACTTCGGCCCCTTTATCACGCGATCTACATAAATGTTGGGAACATGGACGTCTTCTTTGGGAAAAGTGCCCACATCCACGATCTCTTCCACCTCCGCCACAGTGACTTTCGCGGCCTTGCACATGGGCAAGTTGAAGTTCTGGGCGCTTCCTCTGAAGATCAAGTTGCCAGAGCGGTCAGCCTTCCAGGCCTTTATTAGGGCAAAGTCGGCCCTGATGGCTTGCTCCAGGAGGCAGTGCCGGCCATTGAACTCCCGTACCTCACGGGGCTTACTCAATTTGACTCGGTGGCCATCTTCACCGTAGAGGATGGGCGCACCTCCTTCCTGCACCAATGTCCCGTAGCCGGTGGGCGTGTAGAAGGCGGGCACGCCGGCCCCAGCGGCGCGGATCCGCTCTGCCAGGGTGCCCTGCGGGGTCATCTCCAGTTCCAACTCGCCCGCCAGGTACATCTTCTCGCAGAGCGCGTTTTCCCCCAGGTAGGAACAGATCACGCGCTTGACCTGCTTGGCGGCCAGCAGGAGCCCCAGGCCGAAGTCGTCCACGCCCACGTTGCTGCTGACCACCTTGAGGTTCTTCACGCGCGTCTTCAGCAGCCCCCCGATCAGGTTCTCGGGGATCCCGCACAGCCCGAAGCCCCCGAGCATGACGGTCGCCCCGTCCTTGATGTCCTTCACCGCCTCCACCGGGTCGGTGTAGATTTGGATGAGGGAGCGGGGGCTGGTAGAGAAGCAGCGGGAGGAGCCCCGGGACAGCGCCGGTCCCCAGCGGGCCGCCGGGACGGGCCGCCGGAGCGCCGCCGACGCCAGGAGCCGCAGCGCCGCCATCGTCCGTCCGTGCGCAGGGCGGGCGGTGGGGACTGGACGGGGAGAGCCCGCTGCGCCCGCGAGAGCGCCCCGGCCGGGCCGCGTCACAGAGCAGGGAGGGGCCGCGTCCCAGCCGACGCCCAGGGGGAGCTGCGGGCCCGCCCACCGAGACCCGGGCTTCCCGGGACGCCGACCCACCCTCGGCTCTGACCGAGGCCAGCCTTGGACCACGGCCCTCCCACCTGCACCAGCCACAGTGGCCTGCATTAGACACCTGCACTAGCCACACCTGTTATTACTGCCCAGCCTCTCTAACGTTTTGCCTGGGCTCGCCTTGAATCGCGATCCTTCTGATTCAGATTCACTGGGCTCTCTTTAAAATCTGAGTCGGATCTTGTCACACATACCCCGCCCCATGGCTCCAAACACCCTGCCTAGGTCAGAGGCACCCTAAGTCAGAGAGTGACTTGTGTTAAGCCCCGATCTGCTCCTCTGTGTGGCCCTCTTGCTGAACCACACACAGGCCAGTTTTATGCCCACCTTGGCCTTTCCATCCTCCCTGCCTGGTATTAAAACAAAATGCCGCTGAAACACCTGTGTGTGAATGAGTGAACTTCAGACTGAAGAGAAGGAAAGAGGCACAGAAAGGGCAGTAACTGCCTGGGTCCCTGAGTCAGGGCACTGCAGAGCCAGGATTCTAGCTCAGGCCCCTGGTATTCAGAGCCTGAGGGTGCAGCTCCTCCCGCTCTGGTCCTCCAGTGCAGAGCCTCCCAGTGCCCAGGCTGCTGCGCAGGGACAGAGAGGCGCCCTTCCCTGGGAAGGGCCACAGGGACTGGCGCAGGTGGTGTGCAGTGGGGAGGAGGGGAGCAGCCCCTATCAGGACCTCCTATCAGGACCTCACCTCCACCCAAGGAGTCCTTTCAGTGCTTGCTCACAGCCAAGAGAGGCCGCTCTGCACAGTGCCAGAGCCTCTGCTGAAACCACCTCCCAGGAGTCCTGGGGCAGCTCCCAGCCAAGCCCTGGGCCTCACCATCCTCGGCTTCCACACAGAGGCGGAGTCCCAGGTCCTTGTCACGGTTCAGCAACCAGCGGTCACTGGCTGCCGTGATGTCCAGCACCAGCCAGCCCTCGTCCCCAGCTCGGAGCGTCTGAAGATCCAAAAAGAACAAGTCAGACTCCCTGTGGACATGAAAGAACAATTAACCGAGCATCAGGGGTTGGCACCAAGCCTCAATGTGTGTCTGGTTCTCCTGGGGACCGTTCCTGGGACCTCACCCTGCCCTGGTTTGGGCTAAGGCCCTGGGGTACCATAAAGAATAAACAAAAACTAGCTACTGTCCCCTTGTCCAGATGAGGAAACAGGCTCAGTGGCTCAGTGACCCATCCAAGTTTCTGAGCCAGAATGGGAGGGTGAGGACATCTGGCCAAGTATCTTTCCCATTTTTCCTTTTCTGAGGCTGTTCTCCAAGGAGGCTCCCCTTCCTGGGATCCCCCCCCCCCAATACCAGGGCCCATACAGGACACACTGCCAGACCCTGACCATGAGACCCTGAGGCAGGATGGCTGCTCAGGCAGAGAGAAGGCACCTGTTGAAGTGCTCCTGGACCACCTCGAACACGCTGACGTGGAGGGTCGTGTTGAGCAGGTGGGTGCTGGGCACCTTGTAAATCCGGAACTCAGCAGCTGTGACTGCTTCCCCGGCAGGAATCTGGGTCAGGTCAAAGAGAAACTCCTTCCAGTGAGGCTCCTGGGGGCCCAGGCCTCGGTCTCTCTCCACTGGAAGACAAAGCGGGACCCAGCCAGTCACTAGCTGCCCACATGGCTTGGGCTTGAGTAGGGTCTCAGGCAGCCTGTTGGGGGCCAGCTTCCTCCTCTGCAAGCTGACTTGTTCCAGGCTGTATTCGAGTATAGACAGAGCTCCATGAAGTCATGTAGTGAGAACTCCATGAGGGCTCAACAGGCCCTGAGCCCTAAACCCCACTTGTAAGCCTCCTGGAGTCCTCCATTGGCTCAAAACCCACAGATGAGACAGCCGAAGGGGAGAAGGATACCAGAGAAAAGGACACAGCCAGACCTTGTGCCTAGAATGGGAGATGGGGAAGAGCTGAGCTGCCAGAGCTGAGCTGCATAAGGAGGCTGAGTGTGAATTTTCCTGTGTTCAGGGAGAGGGCAATCAGAGGGCCACTCAGCAGAGCAAGGCCATGAGTGGAGGAGCTGAGGATGGAGGGAGAGCCATGTCACAGAGCTCAGAGCACCCAAGTTCCTTTTAGAGGTCAAGGGGAATGAGGAAGGAGCCAGGTGAGAAAGAACAGGAACACCAGGTAGGGCTGACAAGCTCCTGGAGAGGCCATCAAGGGCCAGGGAAGTCACAGGGTGGAGGAGGTGACATCTAAACTGGCCCTGAGGGCTGGGAAGGCATCCTGCGGGTGGAGGAGGCCCAGGGTTGCTCTGGAAAGAAAAGAGCTGATACGCACGGTGAGTGCACTGGGAATGCAGGGCTGGAGAGAGGCTATGCCTCTGGCCAGTGGGGAGCAGGGTGGTCTGAGATGCAGACATGGAGGTGAGGATGAGGATGAAGGACAGGCCGTGGATTCAAGTCAAGCTGGGGACCAGGCTGGGACAGGCCCAGCTGTCTGGGCAAAGGCCAAGGTTGTAGAATACACCCCATGTTTGCCCAGCTGCACGGAAATGCCTAGGATGGTATATTTAGGGCAGTGTTACTTTAGCCTCCTGTCACTTTCAAACACCAACAATCTGTGTTTCCAGATGGCAGGGGTGGGAACCGCCAAACCTAACACTGAGATTTTAATTATATGTGTGGGTGTCTTTTAGAAACCATCTCTGACTACTGGCCTTAGTGACCACATGCCAGGTTTTAAAAAGCACCAGGCTGTGCTGCCAGGGGGATGTGGGAAGCACTTCCTGTCCTAGTGGTAGGGACTGGGTCCAGAGATGGACACATGCACACAGCTGTGCTGGGAGGGACCAGGGCACAGGCCTGCTGGGCAGAAGCAGGTGGGAAGCACTATCCCACTATCCCCACACCAGGGAGGAGAAGAAATGGAGGAGCAATATTCTGTAGTAGCCTACGGTGCTGGCCATGAAATATATGTCCGAGAGCCAGACTGCTGGGAGGCAGTGTGACAGCTATGTAGTCCGTATTGCCCCCGCCCCAAGTAGAGCATTGAGGGTAGGTTCTAGACCTTTTATAGGTGATTTTCTTGCTATGGAAATCTATACCTCTGCCACTTTCACTGGGCTCAGGGACCTCACAGAGATTCCTTCTCTATGACTGTTAGAGTCCTGATTAGCAGGACAAAGTAGGTCCAGACTGCTGGCTGTTACAGTGTGTGGGACAGACCAAAAGTGGGTTTCTCTGCATGTTCTTGTCCCTTCCAAAATATCACTGGTGTCTCCCCTAGGGTTCAGTGAAGATGACAGATATACTCTGGGGTCTCCTTGTCGGACCTGGGAACTGTAGGAACAATCCATAACTCTGTAGCTCTGTAGCCCCTCCCTCAGTGACTTGTGTGTCCTATACAAGCTGTCTTAACAATCTTGTTGTTCTAAATGTTGCAATATTGTAGTTTCTAAGTAACAAGAACAACAAATCTTGTTCAACAGAACTGGTACCACTTCTAAACATCTTCTTCCTCTTATTCTTTTTCTTATCCTCCTGGCAGTATTGTAGTTTGAACTCAGGGCTTTCTCCTTGGCATTCTACTTAAACCAGGTCTCTAGCCCTTTTTGCTTTAGCTATTTCTAGATAGGAAATAGCTATTTCCTCATAGTTAGCCTTAATACATGATTCTTCTACCTATGTCTCCAGAGTAGCTGGGACCACAGGTGTGCCACACATTCAGCTTTTTGGTTCAGATGGGATCTGGCTGTTTTTGCCCAGGCTGATCTTAAACTGAGATCCTCTTTTTTGTTTTGTTTTGTTTTTGGGTCCAGTCGTGGGCCTGAACTCTGGGCCTGGGCACTGTCCCTCAGCTCTTCAGCTCAAGGCTAGCGCTCTACCACTTGAGCCACAACACCACTTCCGGCTTTGTTCTTTTTGCTTAGGTGGTGCTGAGGAATCGAACCCAGGGCCTCATGCATGCAAGGCAAGCGCTCTACCACTGAGCCACCTTCCCAGCCCAACTGAGATCCTCTTAATTGCTTCATCCTGAGTACCTGGGATCATGGACATGAATATCTTCCAGCTCTCCCATTTCCAAACTTTTGTGACACTGGTTAGTGCAATCAACCAAATGCCCAGGAACTCAAGCCTCAGAAGCTGCCTGCCATGGATGTTGCAGGCAATACTAGATATTGGGAGAATTTTAGGAAAATGATGGCTTTGATCAAAACTGGATCAAAGTTTCTGGGCAGGAGGTAGCATTGTGCAGACATCACTGATACTGGATAATGGGAGTGCCTGACTGCCTGCTTACTTGTTTACTTGCTCACTTGTGCTCTCTCTCTCCCTCCCACCCCCTCTCTCACCTTTGCTGGTCCTAAGGCCTGAATACAGAGTTCCTAAGCTTTTCTGCTCAAGGCTAGTGCTCTGCCACTTGAACCACAGCAACACATCCAGTCTTCCAGTGCTTAATTGGAGATAAAAATCTCATAGACTTTCCTGCCTGGGCTGGCTTTGAACCATGATCCTCAGATCTCACACTCCCAAATAGCTAGGATTACTGGTGTGAGTCACTGGTGCCTGGCAGAACTGTGGGTGCAGCTTTGTACTTGGTGTTGTAGAAGAGCATATTTTGGGGCCTGATTTTCCCCTGCAGTGGTTCTTGGTCAAGCTGTCTCTGTTTTAATCACATGTACAGCACTGAGAGGTCAGGTCTGGATAGAAGCTGGTTCTCTCTGTCACAGTTCTCACCCTTCCATCCTCTAAGTGCTTCCCCTGTGTGGCCTCAGTATCTCTGTCTTTGAAGTAGGAATCCTGGTATCCTTTATTCATAAGTCTATAGAATGGCAGAGATTGTGAGACAGAAAGGATGGCCATTCCTTAGGAGTGACCTCCTTAG